GGAAGCTCAGGTTCTTCACGAAGAGATGGCCGCGAGACTCCTCGTTTGCCTCGCCCTCCTCCTCGACCGCTGCCACTGTCTCCGCAGCCTCTGGTGCTGCTCCCCCATTTGTGAACACGTCCTCCGGAGCCCACTCCAAATAGAGCGGCACGTGCCGGTACCTCGAGAAGGCCAACTTTTGGAACGCCCGGGTCGCAGCTCCTTCAGGGCTCCATCTATGTCCCTTCAAAGGGAGGTTCTAAACATTACCTTTCGGCTTCTCCAATGTGATTTCTGAATTTCCCTTTGCTGCGGATTCATGACCCACGTCACGTCTTCTCAGCTCTCGTGAGCGTGACACATGCTTTGACTCTGACTGCATCTTGTTCTGCCTGCATCTTGTTTTTCCTGTTTTTTGGTTTCTTCGGGACGTAGGGGTACCCTTGAAGAAGGACACGCGGTTTTCCTCGGCTCCGCGTCCTTTGTCCGTGTACTGCACGATGCCCACGGTGCCGGATGGCGCCAAGCTGCACCGCACCAGATCCCCGAAGCGCCCGAAGCGCTCGCGGAGCTCCGCGCTGCTGGCGGCCGCCGGCAGGTGCTTCACCTCTTCGGGCTTTGAGGGTGGCATGGCTTCTGGGTTCTGGGTGGTTGTGGAGGGGGTGGGTGACACTACACGTTGTGGGGGGAATCTCTGGAAACACAAACCTGGAAGAATCACGAAAATTATGGGTTGGAGCGGTTGCTTGGCATGATTTCCCCGCATATCGGATCCTGGCTGGCTCTCGGTAAGCCCAGGAGGGGGGGAACGGGAGCAAAGGCTCTGCAAATCCTGTCCTGTAATGCATGGATACCCCTTTGCATAATTACACGATACGGTCAGCATGCACATATTGATTCCGTCGGTCTATCTGCATTACTTTGTATATTTACATTGACCTGCGCATAATGCTGTGAGTAACAGAGGTCAAGCATGTATACAAGTGCAGACGCACAACATGTGTAGATATGCATGCTCATGAATTACACACACATGCGTGACTTTGTTCCACAGATACATGCGCATAAATGTAGATCTCAGTTTTTACATGTGAGTCACATCGCACGTTCATTGCAAAGTGTATGTGATATACACTTTGCAATGAACGTGTGATGTGACTCACCGACAAAAACTGATATCTACATTTATGCGCATGCATCTGTGAAACAAAGTCACGCATGTGTGTGTGTGTGTAATTCATGAGCATGAATATCTACACATGTTGTGCGTCTGCATGCAGGCACGTTTGTTTTCATGCTTGAACTCTGTTACTCACAGCATGGCAGTTGCCCGCATTGCCTCATTTCCCCTCGTCTTTGTCAAGACCTGGGAAACCAAGCAAGAAACACCAAAAAGTCTCCCACCCCCACCCTCGCAACCCCACCACCACGAGCGCGTTTCAAAAAGAGGCCAAGGTGCGATGAGCGTGTCCTCTCGGCGGCCCGCGCCCTCCGGGATGATGGCCTTGCTGTTAGTGAGGGCGGACCCCTTCTGCTCAAAGGCATCTACCCGGATGCCCTCCCGCAGAAGCCATGACTTCCTGAGGCGCAAGAAAAAGACACCACACCGACCATCGAATTGAAGTCGTTTTGGGAGCCGCCTTTTGCATCTGCCCTACGCTGGTTTGGACTTGAGGTTTTTGCCCGTCCCCTTTCATCACCATGAATGATATCATAAATGTTCATCCTTCAGACGACCTTCGGAAACAGTGCTGCTAAGCCTCGTTTGCTGAATGATGGAGGTCTCTGTCAGGGCTGCAGTGACCTCATCTGTTGCATTGGCCATGAACACTTGGCCACAGAAAAAAGAAACTTCAAGCCCTAAAGCTTCTGCTGGATTCCAGTCCTTTCAGAGGTCCATGTTGCCAAGCCCACGTGGCCCTGGAAGCCATCTCCAGCCAAAGCTGGCTCGCTGTAGGTTAATAGGTCCCGGGCTGCAGCGTTCTCCGCGTCTTTGCCGAAGAGCTCACTCTTGGACACACCCAGCTGTGCGGCGGCGGCATCGGCCGCCGCGTTGGCGGAAACGTAGAGCAAGTTCCAGGTGTGCTCCAAGTGAGCGTCCACCTTCTTTTTCCGCTCCTTGGCTGCCATTCTCACCACAGATTGACTCAGTCACCAGATGGGGTTGTGAAGGATGGGTCAAGAAAAATGCTTGCCCTGCTTCTGCGTGCAAGGCTAAGGATTCGCCAAGCCACTTCCAGCTTACCTCAGTTGTCAGAACAGAAAAGCAATGTCTGTCCGATGGCCCCCGTCTTCGCAACACTAACAGGTGAACCCACAATGTCTTGCGCTTCCAAAACTGATCAGCCCTGCTTCCATCCCAAGCCGACTCGTGCCCTTCACACCTGATTGACAGCGGCGGAAACCGCACTCCAACAATCCCGTCGTGTGTGGGAAGACTCAGACAAAGTCAAAAAACACTACAGTGTGTACATGTGTGCATACATATATATATATATACTTGTATGTATGTATTCAAATTGTGACACATGCATATGCATGTGTTGTGCGTGCTCCAGAGGTCCTGCCCGAGGGGCGCTTGTAGGAGCTGGTGTTCCCCTTGGCCGCTTCAGTTGCGGGCTTCTCCGGCTTCTGCCTGGCCGGGGCCAACCGCAGCAGCCGGCCCTGGAAGGACTTGAGGTCCAGCTCCGCCACTGCCCCTGATGGATCGGTAAAAATTCTCAAACTCGCATCGCGACGTCGGCGGGACCATAGGTGTTTCTTTTGCAAAAAATAGATGGCCCTGGTAGTTGATTCAACCACCAGGTAAACCAGGAATCACCCTCTATTGTTCAACCAAATCAACCAAAAAGGACACCTAGGGGCGGGACATGGATCACACGGAGAACCCGAAATCGGATGCGAGGAAAAAAAAAGTCCTGCAAGCCGTTTCAGGACGCCCCCCCCTCCCCGCCCTAACCGTCAAACGAGTCGACCGACCTTCTCACTGAAGCATGCAAGTGTCATCCGAGGTGCTGACAGCGCATTCAGGGAACCTAACCACAACAAATGCACACAGCGCCAAGCCAACTCCACAGAATGCTTGCACTTCCGCCTGAAACATGGATCGAAGTCTCTTATGCAGCAGGGGCGCACATAGGTGACGTAGCCAAAGCCCCGAGACTTGAGGGTGTCTTCGTCCTGAGGCTCCGAGGTGCCAGAGACACTTTGCCACATGCAAAGTCGTCTTCCGGGCCTTGCAAACGACCACGGACTCGACCTCCCCCAGCGGCTCGAAGTGAGCTCGCAGATCCTCTTCGCTGGCGCCGTAGGGCAAGTTGGTTATGTACAAGCCTCATGCCCACTAGCAGGCTCACGCCAAGTCAGGAGGCCTTGAAACTGAAGCACCGGGTGCCAACTCGCAGTGAATGCTGAACATCAAGACTTAGAAAGAAATGCGTGTAAGTCATGACGTCTCCCAACATCAGGGACGCCCTTTCGGATGGTGCGGCGCAGGGCGCCCAAAAATCCGAGGAACATCTACCATATCCTCCACCCCCCGCCCCCACTTCGAGCTGAGCTCATGTCATGGACCCGCAAGGAGGGCCATGACCGGCTATGACTATGAACCTCTGACGGCTTGATACTGGCAGACAAAATCCTGCACCAGGAATGAGAAAAACACACCTACCAACCGGTGCGAAGCGGATTTCGGCCCCCGTTCCCCCCGTTTTCCTTGGCCCATTCTTTGGCCAAGTCGCGGCCAGTGGACTCCAGATCTTCCATGCCTCGGATACAGGCCATCAGCCCCAAGTCAGTGGCTTTTGTTGAGGCCACCCTCTTTGGGACTGAGCTTCAAGGAAAACCGCCCATTTCGCAGGTTCGCTTCCAGTTGAATTGACGACGGACAAGGGGAGCATACATAGAAACGTGGGGAACTGTGAAGTCTTGCTTTCATGGAAAAAGGCCCCGGGTCTCCGCCTTCGCACTTTGATCAAACAAGGCTGACTTCAGCTTTCGCAGAAACCAAACCCCCTGCACAGCCCAAATCGAAAAAATGACCATAGCAAGCGTAGACTACAGTCATGCCGAAACCTGAAGCCCACCTTTGGCCGTGCTGCCCTCTGGCTGCACGTCAGGTTCTGCGGCAGCATCCGCCGCTGCTGCAGCGTCCACCGCGTCGGCGCCAGCCTCACCCGCGCCGTCCGCAGCAGCTGCAGCGGTGTCGTCCGCGACAGCTTCTAGCAAGTGCCAGTGGAATGTGTTGGGACGCACGACTACCTTTGAAGTAGACTTAAACCAAAGTTTGAAAAGGACACTCCAGCACAAAGTCTGCCTGGTGCTTATCAATTTTGGCACCCGAAATTGCAGAGAGGCGCACGGGACAAGCTGCAACAATGGTTTTGCCAATTAGTTCAACACTGGGCAGTCTGAAGTGTTATCCAGACCGCTGCAAGCACATCACAGCACGATGCGGTTGTCAAACTGTCCGACTTTGCGCAACAATGCCGACAGGTCACCTTGGTTCTTGCCTTTGAGCTTCGACCCTCAGCAAGCAATGATGAATGGACTAAAAGGGGGGCATTGCAACAAACAATCGTGCACTTCCCTCGAAAAATGGCGAGACTTGAACATAGTTGGTTCTTGTGTAGGTGGTTTGTTGTCCAGGTGGCGCTTCTTGCCCTTTGCGCGCTTCTTTGGCGACGCGGCATCTGCAACAGGATCTGGTGTGTCGATGCTTTGGCTCGTCTTGGCCTGCATTTAAAGGAAAACAAGGTTGAAAGAGCAGCAAGCCCGAAAATGCAAGTCTTGCGCTTTCCCTGCCGGTCGCCTTCATTTTCAGATAGGCTAAATCGTCCAACTCCTCATTGAAGGCCACTGACTCTTTCTTTGGCTCACTTCTTGGCTCGGGCATCGAGCCGTTCTCCTCATCACCTGAAGCCATTGCACAAGAATTACGAGTGCCAGCAAAAAACGGGAACTCAACACTCAGCGCGCATCCAAAGCTAATGTGCTGCACAAATCGGCGTTCGCCCATCGCAAAATGACAAACTTTCCAAGGCTGCTCTGTAGCGTCGAGGCAAGTCACTGGATTCAAACTCCATGTGCCTGGGCACGACTCCATCTCGCAACGCGAGCACTTCACACAAGCCGTTTTGAAGTGGCCCCAAGTTCGGCCAAGCTGCGTTCGGACATCGCTCACCCCAGCCTTTGTGGGCTTGACATTCGCGGCGCGAACCACTTTGGTCCCTTTGATGTTGACGCTCGGCTTGCGCCCTGCCAGCACGCTGAAGGCTCAGCATCTTAACCACACCCTGTCCATGAGTCCAACCTTGCGACGACACCAAGCCCTCCCCACATAAACACGCAAATGGGTTTTCGTTTCCCTTGAAAACCAACAGGCATTCCCACCATACACACACAAACAAACAAACAAACAAACAAACAAACAAACAAACAAACAGCACGCCTAGTGCCTTCTTCTCTGTCTTCTCCTTGCCTTTGGCCTCACAGGCTTGAACCATTCCGCCAACATCTTCTCAAGCAAATGTGGTGTTGAATCAACGAGGTCTCTCTAGTCCTCACATACATGGGTATGTGTCAGCGAATCCAACATGGTGTCATGTCGCTTTGCTTTGCAAAAGCCCGCCCCACACACACACACACACACACACACACAGACAGACAGACAGACAGACAGACAGACAGACAGACAGACAGACAGACAGACAGACAGACAGACAGACAGACAGACAGACAGACAGACAGACAGACAGACAGACAGACAGACAGACAGACAGACAGACAGACAGACAGACAGACAGACAGACAGACAGACAGACAGACAGACAGACAGACAGACAGACAGACAGACAGACAGACAGACAGACAGACAGACAGACAGACAGACAGACAGACAGACAGACAGACAGACAGACAGATAAATGTCGACTATGTTGGACAATCAGCGCCACAACTTCAAACGGCAACGAGAACAAATGGGCCCTTGAAGGGCCAGTGCACCGGACACCCACTTCGGCACCTTCGCCAAGGCTTCGGCCGCAGCATCTCCTCGCAAGGACCCCTCAAGCTGAAACAGCAGAATTAACAGAAGCGCCTGTTTTGGGAAGCCCAGCTCCCGAAAAAATGGGCTGTTTGGGATCCACATGAATCAGGAGCGTGCATCCGAGAATGTGTATTCTCGGATGGATTGATGCACTCTGGGAAGGGGAACAAGATCTTTAAGCCCGCTGTCAAGCTTCCGGCCAGTCCTTTGCCGGTTTCCTTCTTGTTTGCTTTGCGCGCCTCCCTCTTTTCGTAGGCGCTGGACCCGGCAGCATACCTGGAAATGCCATGCTTGTCATTCGCAGGCTCCCTTCATTTGACCACTATGAATATTTGGGTCATACTGAAACCCTGTACCCAGTTGCCCTGGCCCCTGGCACTGGATCGTGGGATTGGCAGAGTCGTCTGACTGAAGAAAGATAGGCGTGGCTCTGCAAGGTCCGGACAGCAACCTTGAGTTCAACCAGGGTCACTTGCGATTTGGCAGAACTGGGACAAGACTTGCCCTGGACCAAGAAACCTTTTCAAGAGCTTGACAGCTGCACCATGTTGCATGACGCAATGCCCCACAAAGCAGAGTGGCTGCGTTTGCCGGAAGCTCAAAAGCTGAGCTCAGCATTGGGCACCCAAGTTGGCACTTTGGTCACCAACTATTCAGCCAATGGTGCCCAGCAAATGCCAAAGGCGCAGAAAGAAAAGAAGAAGAAGAAGAAAAAAAAGCGCCGCAAGCTTCCCAAAACCAGGCGTCCGCTGGACCATTGGCCCAAAACAGCTCCGAAGCCCCCGCCCAACCGCCCAACCCCCCCCCGCCGCCCTGGGCACTTGCTCCAGGGCCGCGCCAGGGCATCAGAGCCGGGGGCATGGGCCACCTCCACACCTGCGGCGGTGCGGCGGGGGGGCCCACCCAGGCCGAGTTGCGATCGCTGTTGTCGGTCGCTGTTGCTGGTTCTGGGGGGAAAGTGCAGGGAACAAAAGCAGCAACTGGCGATCCAGGCATGAGCAAAAGGCACGGGCTGTGTTTCACCAAATGTTTGAGCCCTCCCCTCAACATACCCTGAAAGGGATTTCCCACAAGCAAAACCACAGGATTGGTTTCGCCAAATTTGAGCTCTGCTGAAATAAGCCTCAACATACCTCGAAGCCTCAGAAACCGATAATCTCCGGCACCTTCCCTGAACGCTGCTCCGAACACTGGGCCTGTTTGGGCCAAGAACCTTGCTTTGCCTTTCAGCTGCAGGGGAATGGACAAACAACCCGAAGGGTGGGACCTGTCCCGCTTTGTTCATGTCATACACCATGCAAAAGCCGAAAGGCGAGTTCTGTGCAGCTTGTGGAAACTGGGGAGGGCACCTCCCAAAAAACAGCAATAGAAGGATTTGATGTGTGATGGTGGCAAAGCAAGGCAACATTTCAGGAACAGATATCATTGAATTCGCAACCATCCCCGAAAGCAGCGATGAAGAAGGGTCGAAATATGAATAAGATTCTTTCCGCGCTAGCGCCCTGAGCCAACGTCGCAATGCGCAGGCACTTCACTTAAATCGGCCTTGCTGACTGTTGGGGAATGTAAAGCCAAACTTCTTACCAAGGCGCTTATCTTCGACGTGTCGAAGAAACTGCGATTCAGCTGTTTCACTGCTGCTTGGGCATCCGCTTCCGTCCTGGCTCCAGGCTGCCAAGGTATGCAAACAAAAACTGAACCGTCCGAGCCCGTGCCGCAACTCCCCGAACATCCTGAAGCCAATAAAAGCGAAACCTCTGGATCTGCCATCTTTGGTTTTCCTCAGCCAGGACACGTCACGTTTGCTTCATGCCACAATCAAGCCACAGCTTTCATGCGTCCAGCAAATACATAAACAATGGTAGATGCACCTCTCACATGACATCCGGCGATGCTGCACGATCCACTCATCCCAAGGCTCTGAACCCGGCAGTCGGTGACCTCCCCTGCGCCCGCGAAGAATTCCCGCAGGCGCCCATCAGATGCGTGGGGCGGGAGGTTCTTGACGATGATGCGGGACGCCATGGCATCCAGGCGACACGGAAGACAAACCCTCTCAACGCTGAAGAATGTGTGCTGGCATGAACCAAATTACCTTCCGCGCACGAGTTTTGGAACGCAAACTGCTAGAAAGTTACCGAGTGTTTTGCTCGAGCAAAAGCAACTGAAACTCGCTTGAAGAAGGCCCGACCACTTCACAGGCAAGTGTTTGGCGTGTGGTACGCGGTAATTTGATCTGAATTCAGAGCCAGCGCGAGTTTTTTTGTCATGGCACTATGATCCGTGGTCCCACGCACCCCCAAAAAAAAAAAACATGGATCGGCCACTCGACAAAACCAACCAGAAACAGTGATACGTTTTTCCCCACCCAACAGGAAGGGGTTGTTAGATTTTATGTTGGAACACATGGCCAAACACCTGCAGACGAACCAGATCAGCAAAACGGACAGGACACAAACCGGGAGTTCGCAGCGCGACACAGCCAAGGTGGAGGGTGTGACAGCTGGATGGCCACGCAAATGGAGCCTCGGGCCCCTCAGGGCTGCTGCGCTGCATGCAAGAGCAAATCTGGTGCGATGGCTAATCCAGGGAAGGACCAAAGTGGTGTCGACAGCCAGCTGGGCACCGCCATGCAAGGACAACCCATTCGCAATCACCTCGAACCGCCGGTCATCAAAGCAGCAAATCCCCTGGTGCCAACCGACTGCAAAATCTTGCAGTGAATTGATACACATGCTGGAAAGTCTGATCTGGGAGCTGGGCGCCATTGGCTTGCAGTTGAATTCGCGGAAAACAAAGATTTTGACAACCGCTTCGCTAGCGAGCCCTACTTTCTTGGAAGTGGCTGGCAGTTTTGTGGAAGTGTTATGGGGTGATCGCTCCCACAGCTACTTGGGGAAATTGCTTTGCGGAGACTTGTCCAAACGCAGCTTAGTGGAACTGCGCCACCGTATCCAAGCCGCATGGGCCAAATTCCGAAACCACCAGCAAGTGCTTTGCAACCCGCATATTTCTTTGAAGTCGAGACTTCGGTACTTTGAGGCCACCATCACGCCAACTGTACTCTATGGTTTAACAACACTATCGCTTACACAAAGCCAACTGGATAGATTAGACGCTGCTCAGCGTCGCATGTTGCGATCTATGATGGGATGGGTCCGTATTGAGGGTGAAGACTGGCGTGACACAATGCACAGAATGATTTTTCCGTACGGCGCGCGTCGGTGAGACGAGCAGTGAAACGGCTGAGTGAAACGACGAGCAGGGCGCCCGCCGACACGCCCTCACAAGCGGAGGGGGGGTCCGCGACAGGCACCATCACCCGCGGAGGGGGAGGTTGCTACGACTGCAACACGCACTAGCGATACATCCTTTGAGGCCATGGACGCAGCAACTCTTCACCCGGCAATGCAGGTTTGCTTCCAAGATATCCCGTCGAGATGATGCTTGGCCATGGGCAGTCGTTACATGGATTCCAGGTGATGGTTGGACCCATAATTTCCTGAGAGCGCCAAGAAGGAAATTAGGCCGCCCGCCGAAAAGGTGGGACGATAATTTGAGGATGGCAGCTCGGTCAAGCCATTGCTTGACAACGAGCATCTTTTTGCACAGTTTTGCCAAGCTACATGACTGCTTCGTGTGTTCCCTGTGTCCTTCATGGACCGTAGTCTCCTGACTCGAACGGGGCAAAGGCAAAGGCAAGGCCAACCGACAGCGCGGGGCGGAAGCGGCGCCGGCTTGCAGGGCCATCAAAGGTGTTGCACATACAGCATGTGTCCTCTGAGTTGCTTCCTCATAGTCCTCGGATTGTCGCCTGTGTCGTTTTACGATGCAAGCTGGCATGGCATTAATGCAAAAAGCACGGCTCAAGTTCTGTTGGCTGGCTCTGTGTCCTCCCGTTTTGGTTTGGTTTCTTGTTTCGTGTTTCGCGGCGGGCGCCACGGATCGCACAGCTGGGAATCGGGCCCAGTATAAATTAGCCGTGCCACCGCTGGGAGGCGGGCCTAGTATAAACAAATCGTCCCCTGGAAGCTGTCCAGGTTAAAAACAATTTTGTGACAAACACCTCCCCCTGGAGGCCGGGGAGAAAAAAAAACACAAAGAAAAAATGATTCCTGGCGCCAGCTGTCAACACCAGAGGGGCCAACCCCTGCACCAAGCGCCGCGAGGACAGTCCCCGTGACCACCTGTCAACCCCATTCATGGCTTCGGACGGGACGCCGCCTTTCAGATCTATGAGTTGCTGCGGTCAAGCCGTTGCCGGTTGGTCGTCCTCCCAAAAGGTGTGCTGAAAAAAATAGAGAACTAGTTTAGATCAGATGAGTGCAAATTAGAGCCGACAGACAGACAGCATGGACACTGCTATGAAAATGCGTGTCTGCCTGTGTTTTTTTTCAGCACGCCTTTTTCCATCGCCTGGTTCTTCCCCCCCTTTAAGGGATGCCCCCGGGCACAAGGGTCTTGGCGGGCTGCTTTTTGGAGGCCAGCCCCTCACATGCACAAAGCTGGCCATTTATATCCCGGCAGCCCCCGGCCCAAGACGCTGTCACTGAGCAGTCGGCTACCGGTGAGCGGAGGGGTGGAACACGCGCCGAGGCGGCGACACGCCGAGGCGCGCCGAGTGAGGCGCTCAGCTACGAAGAGTGAACAAACTAGGCCCGGAAAGGCCGGCTATAGCGAGAGCAGCACCTACCAGCGCCGACGCCAGCCCGCAGCAGCCGGTCGGCTCACAGCAAGGCTATCCGCCTTTTCGCTCCACCTGCCGCCGGTCTCGCAGGCGAGGACAACCAGCCGCTCAAGCTCGCGGCGCCTGGCCTCCTTGCACCCTGCACGGTGGCGATCGCAGATCCGTCCTCGCCGAAGCGGCGCAACGATGGTGGCGTCGCAGCACAAAGCCCTTCCCATGCGCATGGTTCCATACAAGACAAGGTCCCACGACGACCCGGGGACCAGACTGGGATCGGAGACAAGCGCGGCTGCTGGGCCATGCGGCCGGCAGCAGCTCACTCTCAAACAGTTGCTGCCAGCTACAAGGCGAGTCAGTGGGGTCGCCGGCTGCATTGGCTGGAGGGGCGGCATGGGCCAACAGGTCAAAGCCATGACGGGCGTTCCGTCCAGTGTAGGCATGGCGCAGCGACACGACGCTCTGCCACATTCGGGCGACCGGCAAGCAGTCCGCCCACGCCGCTCAGTACGCGGCCGGCGCCGCGCGTGCGGACAAAAGGCCAAGACCCGTCCGCCGGGAGGAAGGCGAGGCGGCGAGCATCCGAGATTAGCTTGCAATGTGTGCCAAAAAGCCTGGTCATGCGCTTCCGCATACGCCACATGAGCGCGGGGAGCCGCGCAGAACAGGAAGAGCAGCCAAGCCAATTGCAAGTCGGGCAGCTGAGAAAGCTCGTCCAGCAAAATGCTGCTGTCATGGAGGCGTCCAGCAGCACACGCCTCGACGAACTCTGGGCTTTCGATGGGCGTGCCAAGCGCTACCAAAAACCCCTGGCCGCGAAGCGCTTGTCGCCACGCCAAACAAGGGCCTCGCTGCGCAAGCGAAAGTCCGGGGCCAATGCGTCCACCCATCCCGTTGCTGAATCTGGTGGCAGACGCCATCATCATCCCACATAAAGCACTCTGACTGGCGCGCGTGCAGCCCGCGAACGAACGCTACGTCGTAAGCGCTGCGCGCGTCCAGCGACACTATCGTGGCGGCAGGATCCAGCTCGACGGCCACATGGAGCAAGGAGGCCAGGCAGTCCGCCCCGGCGCGCGCCTGCGCCTGAGGCTATGGCCCGCACCGCTCCGTTGGGTTACGCAAGGCGGTCAGACGCGAGAGAGCGTTGGCCATCTTGGTGGCGGCTGCGGCAAACAGCGAACCTGCTTCCTCCCGGACAAGCCCCAGCCTTTCCTTGCGGCGCGGGACTGCAGCATCCAAACGGATGGCAGTCGGCGCAGCAGGCCCGGCGCAATCATAAAGCGAGGTGAACTAAATCGCCCGACGGCAACACGGAAGCAGCGCTCTGCAGTTGCATGGCTGCCTCCCAGCCACTGGTCCTCAAACGAGGCCCAAGTTGTTGTTGTTGTTGTTGTTGTTGTTGTTGTTGTTGTTGTTGTTGTTGTTGTTGTTGTTGTTGTTGTTGTTGTTGTTGTTGTTGTTGTTGTTGTTGTTGTTGTTGTTGTTGTTGTTGTTGTTGTTGTTGTTGTTGTTGTTGTTGTTGTTGTTGTTGTTGTTGTCGTTGTTGTTGTTGTCGTTGTTGTCGTTGTCGTTGTTGTTGTTGTTGTTGTTGTTGTTGTTGTTGTTGTTGTTGTTGTTGTTGTTGTTGTTGTTGTTGTGGTGTTGTTGTTGTTGTTGTTGTTGTTGTTGTTGTTGTTGTTGTTGTTGTTGTTGTTGTTGTTGTTGTTGTTGTTGTTGTTGTTGTTGTTGGTGTTGTTGTTGTTTGTATCGTTGTTGTTGTTGTTGTTGTTGTTGTTGTTGTTGTTGTTG